CAAGCAATCGATGCTTTCTTTGGCATGGAACGCTATCTTATCGACGAGAACATGATCCGCTACATCCCGGTCCGCCAGCGCGAGTTTACGAGCGTCTTGAGACGGCACTCTATCCGCGCCCAGATCGAAAAAGGGGAATATGAAGAGATTCGGGCGGAGATAAGCACGCTTGTGCAGGCCATGAGAGTAAGTTCATTATCATACACCATTCCATTCTCATAGCCTGTTCCGCTGACACTATGTCCAAAGGTCTTCCGCGCGACACACAGGACGCGAGTAATCCCATACCTGAAGCAGCCAGCGCCAGAGAGACTAATCATGACGGCGGGCAAATCCATTTTGGAGAACCAGGACACAAACGGACTTGAAGACGCCTTGGCCCCGCTGAACAAGATGATGACGACTAGACTGCAGGAGACTGTCTAGGTGTTGTCTGACATGAACTGCCAGAAAAATAGAGGATATGGAAGTGGCAAGCTGTGAAAGGAAAGTAGACTTTAGATCGTAATAAAAACCCACATGTTGATTTCTTTTCTGCGAAAGGTCAAGGATGTTCGCACAGAGCTTGCACTACATGACCCACGTAGCTTAGCAGGCTGTTTTTAATTTTAGTTGTACACCGCTGCATCTACCCTATAAAATCATGATTCAATCATCTACTGCAGAAATATCTAGATGTATGCGTGCTCTCAGTAAGACAGAAACAGGAGCAAGGCCGAGGTCCATCTTGCATCAAAGGATGGCTCGCAAAGTGAAAAAAAAGCTTGCCGAAACAAGTATACCTAAAATTATGGACAATTCGAAAATATCGCGTTCGTAGAATCATACTGCACACTCACCTTGTTTTCTTGGCGGCGCTCTCATTTATGTACTGGAAAATGCCATGTTCTCGTCGCCGCAACTCCCGCTGGGCCATTTTTGTTAGAATCTCAATGGTGTCCCCGCGGTCCGTCTCCCCAGCACGGCTCCCGGTACCGTCCGATGCCGGACTCTCGTCGACGGTGTCCAGGCCCATGGAGCCGCGTGAGGCTGCCGTGTGCTTTACGAACTGCCGGAGCGACTCGCGGAGATTCTGGGCCGTCTGGGAGACGAGCTGCAGGTGGATTTCGGCGGCCGACTTTCTCGATACCTGCAGCCGGATGCCTCCAATGTTGATTTGCGGGGCTTCTTCGGGTGACGCAGCCCGCTGCTGTCGCTGCTGCAGCATCGCGGTGGGAGAGCCTGTGTCTCGCAGCTCGTGTCGCAGCTTCTCCATGGCAAATTCATAGGCCTCGAGAAGATAGCTGTAGCAGCCCAGTATGAGCAGAGACGTCATGCCGTGGCACTTGGCAACCGGCGTCGGCGGGTAGCACAGCCCATTCTCCTTGAGGCGCTGAAGTATCTCGGTCATCTCGGCGCTAAGCCTGTAGATGACCTCCATGTCGTCGGTCATGCTGAAGGACACGGCGAGCGACTCGGAGAAGGCGATGAGCTCGGTGTGTGTGACTACGAGCCGGCTGTGCAGGCTCTCGCTCTTAAGCGAAGCGGCAACAGAAGGGGCCTCGCTGCTAGAATGGGCGTCATGGTGTATGCCGCTGCTAGAGCTGTAGGCGCTACCACCCCCCAAGGGCGAGAACAAGTCGACGGCAGCGTTTGAGCTTACGGTTGATGCCGTAAGCGTACCACTGTGTATCGCCTCTTCGATGGGCAAATCAGGCTGCCCGTAGTCGTCTAGCAAGGGCTGGTGGTCCCACAAGTAGGCGGCAGTGTCCTCGTCGGAGTGGAGGTTGCTGAAGAAGTCCAGGCTGCAAGCGGCAGACGGAGGCAGGGTGATAAATGGTTCGTCAACTGTGTCATGTCTGTCAGTCAGCTTTCCATGCAAGTACATGTGATGCAAGGGCAAGGAAGAAGAGCAAGGTTCGCGACATACTGCTCATGGCCGGGGTTGGGCGTTGGCTGGACGAGCTTGACTGGCCTGTGCCGCGACCGAGCGGACGGCCCGCGTGGCCGCGCGGACTGTAGTTGCAGACTGCGCCTGACCGAGAGCACTTGTGGCACTGGTTGGACGACGCATCCTTGGTGCACCGCGTTTTGGCGGCGTAGCAACGATCGCAGGTGGATCGAATGAGGCTCATGCTAGCGTTTTTGGTGGGATCGCTTCAACGCTGGTAGAAAAGCTTGTCGACCATGGAAAGCGGGCGTCTTCCGGTTGCGAATTTGCCACCCCTCTAGTTGCGACGCAAGGCTGTGCAGGTAGTAGGTACAAGGAGAATACGAAATGGAACAAACTGGCTTGCCTGGTCTGACTCGAGGAACCGATTAGTATTGGCGCTTGGTCAAGGAGAAAGAAGGGAACAAGAGAAAACGAATGTCAAAGTAGGAGCAGCGAGCAAAACATTCATTCTCTACTAGGCTGGCGACGAGAATCGGACAGCGGCCTACAGGGGCCAAAACGGTAGCCTGATTTGTAGCGTATGGAGTGACTACAATGCTACATTAGTGCAGAATTTTACAAAACTACTTTTAGTTGGTTTTTGATTTTTGATTTTTAGGCTAAAAAATTCGCCTAAAAGTAGTTTTTGTAAAAATTTACATTAATATAGCACCGTACGTGACTCGTGATGCTGCATCTCAGCTGGGGCCAGGAGCCGCAGTGGAGAGAGCTTGAGAGCCAAAGAGAACCTTGTTCTTTAGCTTGTAATGGATCTGCCCCCGTAGTTCCTAGTGTAATAGTAGAAACACAGTCGTCGATCCCCGAGCCTGAGCTATATCGCAACTTTAGTTTTAAGCCGAGGCTGCCGAGCAGCCATTCGAAATCTCAATATATGCTGTATTCACAGGCAGCTACTAGGTAGCAGACTGGGTACTGGGAGACTAGAACTAGGTACTTGGTTTCAGCCGCTCCAATAGTGCCAAGTCGCTAGCTAGTTACAGTGATATCCTGTAGGTGATGACTGCGCTCCGAGCTAATGACCTTAGAGTCTAAACTCACAAGCCACAATCTTGATCTTTCCGCAGATCTACATCTGTAACATCTCTGTCCGTGGTGTCGTCTCACTTTTTCTTCGGCTCGCCTTTAGCTGAAGGAGTGGCACTAACTCTATCAGTAATAGCAAACATTGCTACTCGGTGCCAACTTTTACTAACGCACTGTGTACTCCGTATGCCGACCTAATAGCGCTTACTCTTAGACTGCGGCAGAGTCATGGCTAGCGGCTGTGGTGGGCAAGGGGTTAACCGCAAGAAAGCCATGGTTAGTTTGTGGGGCCGCAAATACTGCAAGCATGTGATCTCTTGCCTGTTGGCGACTACAAAAACCAAAATATCCAAATTACTCACTAAGTATATGAGGAAATACATAAATTTAAAATAAAGTCATTATTTAATGTTGTCTTCAGCATCCTTTGGCAGTTTTTTAAAATAATCTCATCAATATTCGGTAAATCTACAAGGTAATACAAAGCTTGCTAAGAAAATGTCTTGAGTTCCGCTAGTGAAAAATATATATTTTCAAACAACACCCTACACCTTTGATGTCCCTTCGTGCCTGAAGCAAAAGCAAGTTTCTGAGTTCTCAAATACTGCATTAAACTTAAGACATCCTGCAATATAATTGTAATATAATCGTCTTTACAATAACCATGGCCTTCTTTTTTTTTATATCGCACCTTGGTCTCTTTTCATTCCCTCCCACTCATTGGCCCACCACTGCCAATTAAAATCTAAGCTCAAGAGGTCCTTCCAAAATGAACTTACTTACTTTACCTTTGGTAGGTAGACTTTTATTAGGTCAAAAAGTGGCAGCTTTTTTTTTTACTGCAGACAAGATAGTACAGTTAGTACTGTAATCTGGATGGGCTCTTTATAGCCGATAGCATCTTTAGTTGCAATCCTGAAGATCAGTAAAGTAGCACATGACAACGTAGGCATGCAATATATGCTTACACCATCTGATCACCATTTCCGTGGCGCTTCATCCATTCACCAATCCATACTTCGGATTGCTCATCTTAATAGCAGTTGGCACTCCAAGCAGAAATATGTATCAGTTGCTCTTCCCTTCTCTGGGGATTTTCCCTACCACCTCCGTGTCAATGAAATTGCCTCCATAAAATGCATCCATGATGGCAAAGGCATCTTCCTTTTTACATCTACCCATGAAGCTCTTCCTATAGGTTATTAATAAGACTCCATAAAAACCAACCAGGAACATTCGGCTGGATGCACTTACCAATTAGTAGCAAAGTTCATCGTCCCTAGACATAGAGGGGAGACTTTGACACCAGCGGAGGGGGCGACGACACGGTGATAGCCAAGAACACCCTTGGGCTTGGGAGCGACGTCGCAGAATCCCGTGTTTATAGGATTTAGCTATGATTTTCCTTCGCGCGGCATTGCAAATAGAACAATCAACTAGAAGCTAATCAAGCTGAACATTTAAATAAACCCCATTACTTCTTTTTCAACTATGACGATCAAAACCTATCAACAGGCCTCGGTGTTTCAGACCCAGCAGACAGATGTCATTGCCGTTGGTGCTGGCCCAGCAGGTTGCATGTCAGCTGCGACTCTAGAACGATATGGTATTGATTTCCGTCTGAGTGACAAGCGTGGAACAAGGACCCAAACGGGTCATGCAAGTGGTTTGTGGAATGAGACTGCGAATTTTCTTTGAAGACAGCCCTGACTGATGGAGAAGCATTTCAACCCCGTACCCAGGAAATACTGCAGAAAATGAATCTGCTCCATGAGCTTGACAGTGAAGGACACCGTCTCACTGAAACATCCTTACATCCTTTTTGGATGCGCGACAGTACGGGAAATTTGACAGGAACTTTCACAGGCGCTGAAGTACGGTAATTGCTCAAGTCCCTGGAAAATTCGTGTGGGTCGACGTCGAGCTAACGTCTATATGCATCAAAGCCACGCCTTATCAGTATCTGTTCAATACGGACCAAGGTATGACAGAAGATACTTTTGAAAAATATCTTCTATCCAAAGGAAAAAGCGTCAACCGATTCATGGAATTGCTCCATTATGAACACAACCAGGATATGCCCGAAGGGCCACTGACAGCATACACAAAAAACAATGCCAGCGGTGCCATCGAACCTTGGCTGACCAAGTACATTTCGGGTTGTGACGGGGCGCGGAGTGCAACACGTCAAGCAACAGGCATACAATCATCCTCGCAGGGCGGCCAGGACGTTTCGGCTGTGGCAGACGTTTACGTTGACACGGACTTACCGGATTACAGAAGACGTTGCGCCATCCGAACCCCTGATGGTGGCTGCATGCTCATTCCTCACAAGGACGAAGGGCTTCGAATCTTTCTTCAGGTCGACGAGAAAAACTAAGACATCCTCGGCGCGAACGGACACTAGGGCCGGGACATTCTCCGTACAAACGCGGGCTTCGCCAGTATCGTCCAATAGCATATAAACAACGTCATTCACATACAGAATGAATATCACCAGTATTGTTTGGATCAGCCAATACCGTGTCGCTCAATGTGTCGTTCATAAATTCTGTGATCATGCTCAGCACATCTTCCTCCTAGGAGATGCATGTCCCACACATAGCCCCAAAGCAGGACAGGGAATGAATGTCAGCATTTTCGACGCTTACAATCTCACGTGGAAATTGGCACTTGTCATGAAATGTGTTGCAAACCCCATCTTGCTCCAGACATACGAACAGTCTCTCGTCCAATATAGACGCTTTTCGAAGCATAATACAGGTGTAGGGTCAAAAGACAGAGGAAACCATAGGTTTCAATGATACAAACAGTCTATTCTTCCATAGTACAATAACTCGAATACCGTATCAAACCGAAGAGGAGATGCCTATATTGGCCACCAGTGTGCAGCACGCTCATTCATCACTGGACGTCTTCCAATCTCACACTTTCTCAGTTGTCTCCTTCTCTCCTTTTTTTGCAGAGATCTTTCCTGCCGGCTTCTTCACGCTCCTCCACTCAAGGGACGCAGCCCCGATGACACTCAGAGATGTCGGGATTAACCCAACACGGAACACCTCTCTCAGCGCCTCGTTATATGCAACAAGAGCGGTATTATGCACATCATCCGGGAGCGATTGGAGCAAAGAAGTGGCGCCCCCGGAGGTGATCATACTGGCGTCAAGCCCTTTGACCCCGGCCAACCTCTTCACCAGTTGATTGGCGAGAACATTCTCTCCAGCCGATACGAACACCGACGCCCCCAGCAGAGTGGCGAACAACATCAGCGCTAACCCGGTAGGCACGTCGTCCTTCGGCAGACTGGCCTTAACCGCTAGGTTGGGTACTTGGAACGACAAGCCCAGGCCGAGACCGTATATAATCTGGTATCCGATCCATTTCCCCGCGCTGGTATCCACCTCGAACGTGGTGAGCAGTCCGTTTCCCACGCACATAAGGCATGTCCCGACGATGGCAAGCGGTGTATAGTAGCCGATTTTGGTGTTTAGGGTGCCACCGCTTATGGACCCGGCTACCATGGAGATCATTAGGGGGAGCGTGCGAATGCCAGACTCGGAAGCAGACGCTCCTTTGATCGATTGGAACCAGATCGGGAGGAGGTAGACTACCCTTTGGTTAGCTCTTGAGTTTGGAAGAGGTGCGTCGCGGGACTTTTACTGATGATATAGTTTCCACAAATGATGGTCAGGGTCGTCCAGCACGCCGCCACGACACTACGCTGCTTCAAGATCCGTGGAGGCAGAGTGGCGGTCCCCGGGAGGAGGACTTGGACGGCAGAAAAGCCAACCAAGAGGACGCCGGCGAGAGTCAACAAGGCCATCACCCGTCCGTTATTCCACTAGAGATGGTTAGGTACGAATCAAGGACGTCTAGGGTGGGCTCACTCACCGGGTAGGTCTGGCCCCCCCACTGCAGCGCCAGGAGAAGGCAGACGGTGCCCGGGACCAGGAGGATGGCCTTGGGGATATCTAGTTGCTTGATCTTTTTGAACAAGGGGGCCTGGGCGATAGGCTGGTCGGGAATCTTCAAAAAGACCAGGATAACGAGCATGGCCACGCCCCCGACGGGCAGATTGATATGGAAACACCATCTCCAGGTGACATTCGAAGTAAAGCCACCGCCGATCAACGGGCCCACGATCGAAGAAAACCCCATCAGGGCACCGAACATGCTTTGGATCTGGGGACGCTTTTGGAGAGGGACGACATGAACGATGCAGACCACCTGGAGAAACCATGATTACCCATGATTAGTGGAGATGGTGACAGGGGGGGATCCGCCTACCACACCGGCAAAGATCCCAGCCGCACCCACACCGCAGATGGCTCGTCCCACAATCAGACCGGTCGAGTTGGGAGCCGCTCCACTCAGGGCGGAAGACGCTTTGAAGATCAGGATACTCCACAGGAGGGTCCATTTGACCGAGAAGAGTGTATAGGTCTTTCCGAATATCAACTGCAACGCGCAGCACGTCAACAGATATGCGCTCCCGTACCAGCCCACGCTTGTGAAAGAATGGAATTCGTCTGTAATTCGGGGGATGGCCTCAAAAGTAGTTAGCAGACAGCCGTAAAGATGGTTTTTATGCAAATTCATACCAGCATGTACGTCTGTGGTTGGATGGACGCTCAAAGATGAAGCTCAAAATTAGTACCTCTGTCTGAGGAAGAATATACTTGCTAACACACAGTATCTTGTTTCTAGGATTGTAGTTGAATGGTAGCGGACAGTCAAACAAGTGCGGATCGAGCTAATTAAACTAGCTAATGTAGAACTTCAAGGGTAATCACAGGAGATTCACACTAGGAGAAGCCTATGATACAAAACTTCTAGCCGTCTGTCGTTGAAGGTATAGTTGCCTCATTCTGTATCTAGCCAAATGTCAGTCGAACGTAGTATGAGGGATGAGGGTACTAACGAGTTTGCGAGCGCAGCTGCAGAAAAATTCCACTTCAGACTCGATCTCGTCAACGAGATTTAGATCCCCTCGCTTCTCCGCAAAAAACACGATTGAGACATCAAAATCGACCCAAACAATCTTATTAGAGACAACCAGAGCATTCTTGGGCTCTGCATCGTTGTGGATGACCCACGCAGAATGGATGGCTTTAAGACCTTCAATTGCCTGTTGCAATAGCCCTGGAGTGACATTCTTCGCCGTAAGCGAGGTCGCGCCAGGCAGGTATTGTGTCAAGATTGCGGATGGTCGTCTTCTGTCATTTTTAAAAGAATCAAGGCTGTTCCCAAAAGGTTCAGGGTCAAGGTTTTCATATGTTCCATAAAACAGAGGAACAAATCCACTGCCGCAAACACCCCGAGAACGGAGAGCTTCGTACGTTTGAGATTCACAATGGTAACGGCAGAGATCCCTGCCATCATCTGAAAAGCCCAGGTCATCGCCCATATGGAACTAAATGAGAATTAGCACAGTTTGATCCGCCGGTTAGATGTGAATAACAAACCACTTTGAGGCAACACTCCGCACCCTTGTAAGTGATATAGAATATCTCAGATGTCTCTGAGGCATGTATACATTTGATAACATTGATGTGCTTCGGCTCAAATATCATGTTGGAGCTTCGCGACACGTATAGTCATGATGGTATAGATGGCTGGATCCTGCGATGCTGACGTTCCATGCTGTCGATGACTCAGTTCGATCGTGCTTATATAATCATCCTGAGCAACGCGTACTTTTTGGTTGTACAAAGAAAATCTATTCCAAGTTCGAACTGCAAGGAATGCGCCCAATATATCTCAAGCCTTGTCGATGCCTACTACAGAATACAGCAAAGAACTAACACGACATTGTCTGAATAAGGAGTTGACTGGGTGAACTGGAATTTTAATGAACATTTTGCTGCTTACCCAGGGAAAAAAAAGGGCCATGAGCATTCTTGATAAAACAGTGCTTTTAAGACGCACTATATGTTCTTTTTTTGATTCCATGTGCCGCAGGGAGAATTGAGCTTGTGGTACAGGCACTGACCCATGGTGACCAAAGTCATCCCACGCCAACTTGAACATGGCCATACAAGGTCCCCCGAGTTTGAAGAACGCCTGTAACAGTCCCCAAGGTAGCAATGATCCTGGTCGGTTTGGTAAAATTACAGATTGGGTGGATTGGATATGGGTTTGTGGATATAGACCAGCAAGTGCGGGAAGTGGCAAGAGACTCCTTCCAGGCATTAATCGCGGTCATGAGTCTGGCCGATAACGAATGTCATCGGCTGCTCAAATCGTCCAAGGAAGATCTGCTGGCGCGCTACCGGTTGGGGTGTCGGCAATTGCTGATACTGTCGGCCCTGGCAGTTTACCAATGTCGACGGCTTGACCGCAGTGTACCTCTACTTGGTATGCGGACCGTCCGCGTTAAGAGGAGATGAGAAATACCACATATAGTAACGGGTTTAGGTCTCCGTTTCGCCGCGAACAGACCCGCGCTCGCTCTCGTCTATGCTGGCCGCCGCCCTCCGGATTGCACAACGGATGGGGCTCCACAATGAGTCGACATACACTCGATATACTGCCGTGGAGGCCGAGATGCGGCGAAGACTCTGGTGGTTATTGGTGATTTTCGATCATCKCATGTGCGAGATGTCCGACTACAAGGTCACCACCTTGACACCCACTTGGGACTGCCGGATTCCGTTAAACGTCAACGACTTTGAGATTCGACCCGACACCAATTCCTGCCCCCCTAACAGCGAGAAGCCGACGGAGGCGCTGTTCGCGGTAGTTCATAGCAAGCTCGCCGACCTCATCCGCCATATCACATTTCACATCAACTTTGTCAACCCGGTACTGGCGGCTGTGGCTAAAGCAAGGGATCCTGGCCACATCTCCATTTCTGCAGATGGTGAGATGTTGACTATACAGAAGGCAATCGAGGAAAAATACCTCGCTTCTTGCGACCCCGCTGACCCGCTCCACTATATGACGATCTGGACGACGCGCGGCTACTTGGCCAGAAACCGCCTGCTGGAGCACTACGCGCGGCACTTGACGTCGCCAGCGACGCAGCAGACAGACGCGCAGCGCAATGCTGCCCTGTTCTACGCTCTAGAGATGCTGGAGTGCGATACGAGACTGCGAGTCTCCCCTTTGACCAGTCGGTACCGGTGGCTCGTAGATTTCCATGTCCCAGCCCTGGCATACATCCACGTTCTGAACGACCTAAAGAAGCGACCCACAGAAAGCCACGCTGGGAAGGCCTGGCAGGCCATGAGCGAGAATTACGAAGCGCGCGGCATGCACCCGAAGCCCAGCGGACAGGGTGTCTTCACCGTCTTTGCAAGGGTGGTGCTCCAGGCTTGGGGAGCACGGGAGATATTTCTCCGTCAACGGGGCATGCCCGTGGAGACACCCAAGATTGTGTTGGATATTCGGAACAAAGTAGCGCAGACGAGTTCGGGTTCCTCCATAGTACCGAGCTGCAGCACCGGAGAACCGCCTCACAGCAGGATCGCGACCAGTACCAATTCAGAGACGATACCCGCACAGATGAACTTCACTGGTCACAGTGCCGACGGACAAGCCTTCCCAGGTCCGGATCTAGAACCCAGTAGCTTCCCCGACGTCGCTGGACCGCCTGGCATGGATATTGATATAGATCAATTCTGGACTGCAATGGACTGGAGGTTGATGCATACACAGGCCTGGTGATATACGCATTTTTAAAGGTTGATGCTAGGTACTCCCAGTCATAGGGCTCTCCTCCCTCAGCGCCTGCTCAATGATATCCCAATTCTGCGTTGTCCTCGTTCCGCTAAGCCAGTAATTGCCCTGCCCATCTTTCCCGATAATAGGGAACATCTCGGTGAACTTGTAAGGTGTCTGGACATTCTGGATATACTTCGGCCTCACCGGACCAGCACCCTTTAAGGCGGCTGCCGAAAAGTCCAACCCAAAGAAGTCAATCTTGGTCCAGTTTGAGAAGCTCAGCATGTGCACTGTCACGCATTAGCACACACCTTTGAGCCACAACGAAATGATTGCATACTGGAACTACCACCAAAGAACGTAGCAGCGCGCAGTATGCTTCCGTCTTCTCTGCAGTCGTTTGCTGCTTAATGGCGCGTCGGATTTGCCATGTTGTATAACTCAGCGGTCGCCCGAGGACGTCTTTGATAGGGAGGAGAACGTTGAAGAAGAAGCCGCAGTTGGCGATGTAACGGTTGGTCAGCGGGAAGATACCGTTGCAGCACTTTTCGGGCGGAAAAGGCGTTTTGAATGGCGAGTTAGATCCGTCAATACTGCTAAGAAATGGACGCATATCAGACTGTTCGGTCTGGATATTGAGATAGATGCGACACTGCCAAACGTGCCACCCACGCCGTCAGAATGTCCCCTTCGGACAGGAATGGCCTCTCCTCACCAGGTCCGGGCGAAGAAGAAACCAGCTCCTCATTGCTACCGCGTGCAGGTCCTCGACGAATCCAGCAGGTACACGAATAATGCGTGTCTCCTGGCTGCGAAAGAACAAGTCCGTGACACTGCTTAGCGCCCAGCGGATCATCCCCAACGTGGAAGTCTTTCGGTCCGCCAGCGTATGTGGCGATAGAGGGTTCTTTCCAATGACCTTGAGCGCGTCGTCTCTGTAACTTACCGGGGTAGGAATCTGATCTTCTCTTCCCAGCATAACCAGATTCCACGCATCAAGGATGGATTTCTTGGCTGTGGCGTCGAAAGCAGCATGTATCCAGTTCAGAGTGAGAACTGTCGCATCATGGAAGGAGACGACGTGTAGGCCGACAACTGACCGGTCTTCGTACAGGTAGTCGTCCAGCTTGCTTGGAGAAGGGGCCGTAGGTGCGCGGCGTTGCAAACAATGGCGGGCTGCGCAGGTGGTTTGGGGAGGACGGACGAAATTGTGTTCTGTGAGAGCCGCGCTTCATGATGAATATGGGTTTGCGTGATAGCTGGTCGTTGGCATGAGAATTCGGTCGGGAGGTGGAATTCGAGCTGACCAGCGGTCTGCTCCATGCAGATGCATATCAGAATGAGAACGTATTAAAGTAAATGACTTCTGAATGATCACATACGTTCCTCCGGAGCCGAGCAGCTAGCTTTCGCCAACCTTCAGCTTCAACACGTCAAGCGCGTTGTCGAACACGAACATTGAGTGCAGCACGAACGTCTGCAGGAGCAGGGTATTGTTGAAGAAGGTCAATTCGGCCACCTCATCTCCGGCCACCACGCGTGGTGCGACTTTTGTTTGCTTGAAGATGTTGAACATAGCGAGTATAATTTGACGCTGGTTTCTCGAAAACCAAGCTATACAGCGTGTACACATGCCTCCCCAACCCAGGCTGGTTAACGACAAGTGATAGACCAAATCAGGGTCCTCTCTTCTTTCCAAAGCAGCAATCGAAGAGCACAACCAATGGCCATAGCCAGTGCTGCAAGTCTGTAACAGCTATCCACGTGGATGGCAGTCGGTCAGTCCCGGACGGAGAGGGCCAGCAGCCTGCCCACTGTGTCTTGAGACGTGATCGACGCTCGTGGAGTAACAGTCAAAGACGATGGTTTGCTAATTAGATCATATTCTCCCGGCATAAATGATCGAAATTAATATGTGCTTCCTCTCGTGACTTCGATGAACGCAATGTGACTCAGGCTCCCTAGAAATGACCCTCGTGCAAAGTCCCCTCAAACCACTTTCTTCGCTCGAATTGGTTGTTTGGGTTGTGGGGGGAAAGGGGTCGGTCGTGCGTCGAGGATTAGCACTCACTTGCTTCAAACAGGAAGGATTTGCAAGTTAATGCTTCGGCTGCCGACCTTTTTCTTATGCTTTCTCCGGTATCTCCCAATATCAAGACATGCGCCGGCGTGTTTTTTCAACCTTAGTTTCTGGTTCACTTGTTCCCCCCAAGAGGATTCCTTGGTCGTGGCATAGGGAAGCCTTGCAAGTGTACGCTCGCATGTGGTCCCCAACCTTGAATGATCGATTTGGTATATTGTTTACCAGCACAAAACACTATCTGTGTAGTTAACTTAGCATCTGCATGTCATACTTTGTCTAAATGCGCTTACTTGAATGCACTTATTAGGGTGCCTCTTACCAATGATTAGCCTACCATGCATCTGGAGTCACCACACGCACTCCCACATCATTTACCTGCCATTCTTTCTGTCGGAAACGGCCGAACGCCGAGCCCAAAACGCTCATGACAATGAGGTCCCTATATGAGCTCAGATTGCCAGATGCTGCTGCAGCGGCGAAGGCCGCCATCGAATCCAGCAGGTGCACCTTCACACTCCATGGTAAATTGCTAGGCGTGTCCCTTCTGGTACTGCTCATCCTGACCGTTCATTTCCACAGCATCACTCAGGATATATCAATCTCGCTGCCCTCGGGATGGTGAACTGATCCAAACAGTTAGCATCGATCTGCATCCGTTTTTATTATGTTTCTGAAAGTTTCCAGATTTTGCGTGGGGTTGCCTGCATTGTGGTGGTGCCTTGTATTGCTTAATGCTTGTGGCACCAGGGCAAAGGCTACCGCATATCCATACACCGTTTATCGCGGTACCTTTATTCATCTCCCCCGGCTTACTTCGAGTTCGGCGAAGCCGGAACTGGCCCGAAAACAAGGCGTCCTCTGGGTCTCTTCTGAAGATGGCCGTATCAAGGGCTATGATTGGCAAGTTCGCGACAATTTCAGCTTCCAGTCGTTCCTATCTCGTCACGGATGGACTGACGCCGATGTCACACCGAATGACAATGGCGATTCATCCACCAAAGTCTCAGTTGTGGTGTCAGTCGATGAACGAAACGAGTTCTTCTTTCCCGGATTCATCGGTATGTCCTATCTACTTCGTTGACCATTTAGCAGTACTGACCAAATAGACACCCACATCCACGCGCCGCAGTTCCCCAACATTGGGCTGTTTGGATCAGCAGGCCTCCTGGACTGGCTGAATGAATACACCTTCCCGCTGGAAGCTAGCTTCGGCTCCAAGTCAGACCCAAACAACCAAGAGACTGATCCCAGGGACACGCCCCCCGAGGGCCTGCGCGTTTATGATCAAGTCGTCGCTCGCACACTTGCCCATGGCACAACATGCGCATCTTACTTCGCCACCATCCACGTCCCGGCCACCAACGCCCTGGCTGCACTCTGCCACTCCCGCGGCCAGCGCGCCTTCATCGGCCGCGTCTGCATGGACAACCGCGATCAATGCCCGCCTTATTATGTAGACCAATCCGCCGACGAGGGCTTGAACGCAACAAAGTCGACAATTGATTTCATCCGGGCCCTTGACCCGAGCGGAGTATTGATCAACCCGATCATCACTCCCAGATTTGCCCCAAGCTGCTCAATGCACTCCCTCACTGGCCTGGGCAAACTAGCCGCATCCTACAACCCACCGCTCCACATCCAAACGCATATCTCCGAGACCACCGAGGAGATCGACCTCGTCCGCCAACTGTTCCCGGAGGCAAGCAGCTACGCCGACGTCTATGACAGAGCTCACCTGCTGACCTCCCGCACCATCCTCGCGCACGGGGTGCACCTCACCCACAACGAGCGCACTCTCATCCGCCAGCGTGGCTCCAAGATATCGCACTGCCCAGCGTCAAACTCCGCCCTCGGCTCTGGACTTGCTCCTGTCCGCATCATGCTCGATGAAGGCCTCACGGTTGGTCTGGGCACGGATGTGAGTGGCGGGTACAGCCCCAGCATCCTTGAAGCGGCCCGACAGGCTTGCCTGGTGTCTAGATTGCTAGGATATAGCACCGACTTCCAAGAGATGACAGGTAACTCAACCTCGACTGGACATGAGAAGCTTTCTGTCGAGGAGAGTCTTTATCTAGCCACGCGTGGCGGCGCAGCAGTCGTCGACATGGCAGATGACATTGGCGGCTTCGATAAGGGGATGATTTGGGATGCGCAACTGATTGAGCTGGGTGCTGTGAATAATAACACTGTGAGCCCGTCTGATGTGGCAGGTGCGCATGGCTTCGCTGGTCGGATCCTTGTCAAGTCTGGCCCTGTGGGCAATGTTAATTTATTCGGAAATGAGACTTGGCAGGAGCAGATTCAGAAGTGGATGTGGAGTGGTGACGATCGGAATGTGAAGAATGTGTGGGTTCAGGGAAAGCTAGTGCATACCAGACACTAAACAATGAATGGACTTGCTTTGGATGCGTATATTGTCTTGATGCTAAGAAGTCACTTCCTCTATATTATTAAGCTTGTCTTAGATATGATCAACTTGAGCTGCTCACGAATGCGGTAGGCTTAGGAATCATGCATAACTCCACTTTGTATACTGGAATACTGACCCTGAAGAAGCCAGAGTCCAGTGCTTAAAGTTCTTCGCAACATCACATCACAGCAGCCACACCGGATTCTTGGCTGGTCAGAGCCGGTTCTCTATAATTGAACAAGGTATATGTTATGGAGTTTATTGCAAGCTAGTAGTCGCGACACTGTAGTCGTCGGGCTGGATTATAAGGTCAATTAGACACTGCATTTGAGATCAGCTTAGCATTAAAATCCTGCAATAGATCAGCAGAGTAGAAGCTGCTAAAAAGCTCTCAGGAGGGCCGTTATCATACAATTATAGGGCCAATCATGATATGCTGTTCAAAGGTGGCTAGATATGGGGATATTTAAACCACCGCTAGTCCGCCTCAATCTGAACGCCGATCCAACTCATCGTGTTCAGTGCGCGTGTGCTATCATCTTTTTCTGGACCTAGCCAAGCAATGACGCCTGCGGAGTGTCGGTAGAGCTTGCCTATGAGGGCTACCTGCGGGCCCTTCTAGATGTCGTTGAACTGATCGATGCAGAGGACGTCTACCCACATACTCGCGGCTTATTGGGATATCGGAGATGGGCGAGCGCCGTGGTCATGTTTTGGCGCACAGTTATACCCGAGGCTTTGTCTTCGCCGACGTAGATGGGGCGCAGATTCTCTGCTCGCTCCGATTAGTAGGAGAGAGCCTCGTATGTGACGGGAGATTGAAGCGTGACATGGTTCAGGTCGATGACAATGTCGTCGTCGAAACGTCCTGGACGAATGGCTGCAACCCGGATATGATCACTGGATGGTAGACTGTCGTATTGATATTGCTTCATAGCGTCAAAAGGGAGAGCTATGCGAGACAACAGAGGTCAGCATCAGGATCGGCCTTTACACAGCTATTCAGGATCCAGTGTGAATGGGATTCCACTTGCTAAGAAATCCAACCAGTACCCCGCGCCGACCATGCACATCACTTAATTTTTATCTACTGTGCTTTGGCCTGAGCGCCGCTGCAATACATAGATACTAAAGGTTAGCATGAGATACCAGAACTGAAAGAGAGATGACGTGGCACTCGTAAACAAGTCACCTGCATGAGACAAAGCAACTGTCAGACTGGGGCCTGAAGGATCACTGCAGGTGTATAGATCAGTAATAGATGCATTCATGTCAAGAAAGAGCTGTGGAACATAGTACGGGCTTGTATGCTATACGTAGTAGGATGCTCGAGATTCTTGAGACGGATTTTCCGACCCGTGATATTGATCATTGGATTTTGAGTCTCTGCCAGAAAAACCCAAAGGGTCATCACATCAGAAGATGCTTTCATTTACTGCATTCTGTGTCCGCTGATCTTTCGCTGTCTCACTATTCAGCGCTCGAGTCTGGCTGTCAGAGATCTGCAGCTCTATATTACGTCCCCAGGCTATGGTAGGCAAGAGTTTGCTAATTGACAAACTTCATCTTAGGCTTTGCCTTTGAGAATATTGGGGAAATACTGTACACCGCCAGTTCTTCGTGCATGATGGATAGACATTTGTCGCTCACGTCGAGGGCGATCAAAATTTGTGGAGCTGAATCAACCAGCAAAAGCCAATCACTTTCGAAGCCAACATCACTGGTGTATATGAACATCTGCAGAAGCTGCAGCTGTTGCAGAGAATTGATCGTGTAGCCCCTCAAGTACGGTCCTCGTGCGACCTTGAGTAAGGCGCTTCCACAGGCTCAGGTGCATCGAATAGATCATGAATTGATACTGAGCAGGCTTTAATCACCAATCACAAAGTGGTTTTGGGGCTTTAACCAATCGGATTTGGGAATCATGCATATCCTATGTTGTGCTACCAATGTACAGCTCTAGATCGGTGGCTAGCTAGCATCAGCTGCAGATCCCTCTCCTTCGTAGCTAGGAAGCTATGGGTGAAAAGTCAGTATATACACTGAACATTTCCGTACAGTGTTCTTTTGGTTCAATAGCTTG